CGGTCTGTGAGAACGGAATATGGAGGCGTAGATATAACTTCGAACTGCAGAATATCTACAAGCATACGTTTGGTGGTAAAGATATTACCACTATAATTAAGCGAAACCGCCTGCAGTGGGCAGGACATGTAGCCCGGGCCCCTGAATCGAACATGATAAAAAAGATTCTAACAGCGCAACCTGTGGGAATGAGACGACGGGGTAGACCAAAGCTGAGGTGGATGGATGGGGTAACACAAGATGCGGAGAAGATCGGATTCGGCAACTGGAAAATTCAAGCAAGGGACAGAACAGAATGGCGTAGAAAGCTTGAGAAGGTCGAGGCCCTCTAAGGGCTGTAGCACCAAGATGATGATGATGAAAATTATTTAAGATATGCAGCCGGTACGGTTTTGATTGCCGATAATGCAGAGGATCTGCAAACAATTATAGACCGCGCAGTGGAAGCCTGTGACAGATAAGGCATGAAATTAGAATGTAAGAAGACAAAAATTCTTGTAGTAAGTAAAAACGACGTAATACAGCACCAATTCACAGCTAATAATGAACCCTTGAAAACATTCGACAAAATTACATATCTTGGACTGTGGACACTGTGATCCAACATATGAATAAATATCGTGAAAATTAGACAGATGACATACTTAGGGCATGTGATGCGCAATGAGAACTATTAACTAATTCAACTAATTTTTCAAGGCAAGATAGGAGGCAAAAGATCTCAAGGGCGCAGAAGGACATGATGGTTGAAGAACATCAGACAGTCGGCAGGAATGACTACTATACATCTATTTAGAGCAGCTGTCAACAAAGTTTTATGGACTAACGTGATTGCCAATATTCACAGAGGATAGGCCCAAAAAAAAGAAGTAGGTTTTTGTTTTTTGTTTAAGATAGTTCTCTAGAAAACTGATATTTGATGCTCTAATTTTAAATTAATTGTAATTTGTTATGTAAAATAGAGAAAAAATTAAACTATTACAAACAATGTGAATCAGAATATTATTACAAATGGTGCAAATTGTATAAAATATAACATTTAGAGCCTAAATAAGTCAAAAAAGTTCCAAGCTCATAAAAATACTGATGATATCGCAAAAATAAATTTCTAATAATGTCCATAAGAAACATTCCGAATATCAGACGCAAATTTTTATCATTTTGTATTAATTTTTCATTCCTAATATGCCGTCTCTTTTACTAAAGGTGGATAAAAACTCTTACGTCTTATTTTTGAATTTTTTTAGAGTAATTTTTCACTCCATTATTCTTCTTTGTAGAACCTTTTTCCATAACGGTTCACCCTTTACGTTAAATCATTTTGGTGTCGAGCAGATCGTATATTATTACCTTTTCTTCTTTATTTATACGCTTCTATTTGTTCTTGACCACAGCTATAAATTTAATAGGGTTTAACAACGAAGAAAATTTACTTTTTCTTTAAATTCGCTAAAAACAAGTCTTTAGAGTTCCAAATAATTTTTATTTCTACAAAAAGCAGTATTTTTCATTTGAATTCTTTGAATGCTTGAATTTATGCTTTTCAGCTGTACTCTTTTATTTGTACTTATAACAAATAACAGGTTTTTGGAGACAATAACTAAACGGAAAAGCGTTTTAGAACCATGTATTAGTAAAATTAATAATCTCAAATAGAAAAGAAAGATATTTAAACAGAGATCTATACAAAATTATAACATAATCAGTCGTACATGATTTCTAATTTTTTCCATTAAATGTCAATTGGTATTCATACTTTACGAAGCTATCTATCAAGCGTCCATCAAAATTTAAAAATTCTGCTGATATGTTATCAATACCAGAGGCTTTTTAATACTTTAGTGCTTTAATGAGATCCATATTCTGCATTGAGTGTGGGTATGTTAATTCGTATTGTTGGTTCTAATTCAATTATATATTTTAAAAATAAAATCATTGAAGACATGTCTAGCAGCGATTTTTTAACACCTGAAAGGGCCAAGAAACATTTTAGAGTGTTAAAAAATACTGTTAAGAGTCAAAAAAGTAAAATAAAGTATTTACAACAATCTGTAAGAAGAATGAAAACAAAAATTACATCCTATCCAAAATGATTAAAGATTTATAAAAGCCCGACTTATGTCCTTTCTTGTTGAAACCAACATTTTATCACGAAGTCAGTTCAGCTTTTTATCTAATAAATGTACCAGTGATGCTATGTTTTCTGTACTACATGAGGTATATCAAGCACTAAACAATAATCTTTACGCTGCCACTGTTTTCTGTGACTATGCCAAATCTTTTGATTGTGTAATTCACACATCGAGCAAAAAGACAAAAGAGGAATGTAAAGGTAGTGGGGGCAAAAATATTGTTAGACAGGAAGTGCGATCTTTAGAGGCCACATTAAAGAAGGAAAGAGAGTCTCTCTCCTTGTTTGACATCAAATTTAGTTGGGTTTATGTTGTTGTTTCTCCCAAATGTCACATGAAATCTTATTTATATTGAAGTATTTTAATAATTGTGTCGCATTTTAGACTATTACCGTTAATAATTAATTAAAACTTTCTCGTCTACTAATACACATTCTGAAAAATATTATATAGCTACTGTTAATAAGTGTCGGAAAATTTAAGTTTGGCGTATTTGCATTTCCGAATATGTCCGCCATCAGAGGCCACTTTTTTGGTCTCCTTTTCATAAGGATTAGATTCCCTCTTTTGTCTTTTTGCTCGATGAATTCACGACATTTTAATAAAAAAACTAAATTTCTACGGAATTCGAGGTATTGCTTTGAATTGATTCCAATCTTGCTTGAGAAATATGAAACAAATAGTTAGAGCAAATGATACTGACTCTAGTCACAAAAGCATTGTATGTGGAGTACCACAATGTTCAGTACTGGTCCTCTACTTTTTCTTATTTTTAACTCTTCATGCAATTATAACTTCTCATCAACTTAAAATAAAAACCTGGTCCGACTATAATTTACTCTCTTTTAACATGAATAAGACAGTAGCATTATCCTATAAAGGAGCTCTTCAACCCTTGTTTCTTAATAACAACCAGATCATTATCGTTGTTTCTTTAAAACTTCATAGTATTTTTACAAACAGCAACCTTAAATGGTTCCTTTATATCGATTTGTTAAGTAAGAAACTAGTCTCAGCCAGCTATGCAATAAGATCTGTTTCGAAGCAGAATTTAGCATCTTCCAAAATAACATATTTTTATTTGTTTGAGTCTCATCTTCGATATGGCCTTCTTTTTGCGATTTTAGTACAGCTATCCAATATAATGTTATTTTTAAATCACAAAAAAGAGCAATACGGTATCTTTTTGGCCTCAGTATAGTCCTCAGCCTCAGCCTTTCCTCTTTGTATATTCTAGAAACTGTTTTCTTAATTGATAAACACCTACATGTTTTTCCAGCAAGACCCAATCATAAATACTCCATCAGAAATTCAACCTTTGATATGTATTTATCGATTCCGTCTACTGAGTTAGTAAAGAAATCTATATTATAATCGGCAAAAAAATTATACAATTAACTCCCTTTGCAACTTAAATCTACAACTTCTTTCCTTAAGTTATGTAAATTAACAAAAGCACATTTATCTAAAGACCATATTATTGAGTGGAAGAGTTTCTTAACCAGAAAAGAAATTACAGTACATTTAGCCACAAGCAACTAAAGTATTATATATTTGGGTATCACATGTAGCAACTAAAACTTATTCGTAAATTTCTTCCTAAGGTTTTATTATCCAATTTGCAATTTAGCTAGATTTTGCAATGAATTGTATATTTTACTATCTTATATTATGTAATATTGACAATTTTTGTAATTTTAGTAAATTTTAATTGTTATTGTTATTCTTTTTTTTTACTTTTTGTAAGCTGTGTCCATAAAATTGTACAATTTTCAATGACAATAAAGCATATTTCTATTTTAGAACCCTACCCGTTCCATAACGTTAATGTGTTTAATATATTTTTGAATATGTGGTTTGTTGTTCATGTTTTGTTAAACAATAGTTTATGCTTTCTTACGTTTATTAATATTTTCTTAAATAAATATTCCTGAACTTTTATCTTTGTTCTGTCTACTGCTTTGTCTAACATGATTTACTAATATTGCCAACTAACAATTTAATCTGGAAGTTATAAACTAGAATTCACTATATTTTTTCAACGTATCACTCACTGGATAAGAGAAGAACATATTCAATACCCTGAACAGGTTAATGTTTGAGGAAGAATTTTTTAAACTTTTTGTTGCTTGTGTATTATTAAAGTTTAAATAAAATATTATATAAAGTACTTTTGCGATTTATTCACTCCATCTTTATTCTTTTGTGTAAATCAATTTTTATAAATATATTTATTTCTGTACACTGAGAATTAAAATTATTCATTGTTCGTTGTTTCTCATTGATTCGAAATATTTTATATGTTTACGATACGAAAAATAAAAGCAATCAAACCAATAGTCATTATTTATTCAAATGAAAAAACTGTTTCAATTACCTTTCAATTAGTGGAAGGTACGCCGCTGAGTAAACGGGAAATATCACAGTCTATCACCTGGCCTCTTTCCCCGCGCCTATAAATTTTTCGACTTCAAATTTAGGCGAACAGAGTACAGGACATGCACAGTCCATCTTTATTTATACGTCCATGGTAGTGACAGATCAAAGAAAACCTCTTAAAGAGTCGAATGTCGAAATTTCAACAATGTTAGCTTTTAATTTAATGTTTTTTTGTTGTTTTACTTGTAGTTAGAAATAAAGCAAATAAATGCAAAATTTTGTAATTATAAAAAAAGTAAATGCGAAATTCATGTTTTTTATTTGCTAAAATTCCGTACCCCTAGTTATATCTTAGTTACATGAAAAATATAATTAAAGAGCCCGTACTTAAGCAAGCGTAAAATAGGCGTTCCATTCAACATAAAACTATTGTAAACAAATTGATAACGCTAGTTTTAATTCCTTAAAATAGAAGTAGAGATAACTTACCGATAAGAATTGTTACTAATACCCATGTATCAATCCCTTCCTTATTAGCGTAATGGACGAAGTTCGATATCAGCGTATCATTACTTGGTTTCACTGGAAAATAAATCAATAAATGATTATAATCTGCACAAGAAAACAGTGCCCCTATTACAGAGTACTGGAATAGGGGGTACCACTTCAGTTCGTGCCTACACTGACTTTCGTCAAGCATTTTGTGCCTAGGTGAATGGTACGTGTTGTAGTATGATATGAGACATGATTTTCTAATTATTAACTTATTTTTTATGATAATTACGGTAAATGACTTGTATGTAATGTAAATACATGCATGGTTCATTCTAATTATCTGATTTACATGGACGCGGCCTCAAGGGATTGATAAGAAATGTTAGGTTGGTTCTTTATTTCAGCAGGTATTAAAAAAATAGTTAATATGTTTTTATAAAACATGTACATATGTACATTTGTGCACGATAAGTAGGATTGCTGACGTTCGATATTATCTACAATATAAATAATACTACATTAACAATAAAAACAAAAATTAAAAGAGTATGTGGAAGGGGCAATAAAAGAAGTGGTTACGAATCTACAAGAGAACTTTTTTTGTTCGTAAAGTAAAACAATGCAAAGATAGATATATAGATCGATAAATATATACATGGTTTAGTGGTAAGAAATGAATACAAAAGTCAAAGATAAAAAAATATATGTCAATATAGTTAATATTTACATATTTAAATATAGACACAGTGTTTTAACTTATACTGTTGACAATTAAAAAAAATTAAAATTGGAAGTAAAACACTCCTCATATGTAAAAAAGGCATTCACTAAAAGGTAACTATTAATTTTTGCCTTAAACTGATTAAAATTAAGAGCTTTTATTCTAGCTGGCACTAAGTTGTAGAATTTGATGGCTAAATACCTTGAACCATTTCTGGTTCTCTTAATGCCAGCCAAATTCTGGTATAAGATTATTTTTAAATCTGGTAATGGTGGGATAATTGTGAAAATCATGTGCGCATTGTATTGGCTAGTTTAATGTGCAACAGACACTGCATAATGTATACGCAAGGTAAAGTTAAAATTTTAAAGGCTCTAAAGGAGTTTCTATAGTCTGCTCTATAATAGAGCCAAGAGATAATACGGACACACTTTCTTTGTTGTGAGAACACTATAAATATGACAAGAGTGTCCCCAGGAGAGAATAGCATATGTCAAAGGAGAATGGAAATTACTATGATAAGCTGTTAAAATAGTCTCCCTTGAAGTTACTTGTACAAGGTTCCTGAAGAGGAAAAGTTGTCGGGAAAGCTTTTTCGATAGATTTCCTATATGTTGTTCTCAGGTTAATCCTGCATCCAAATATATCCCCAGAAACTTCGATTCGTTTACTTAAACTGTGGTAGAGTGTTATTTCTTTAAGTAAAATTAACACGTTGTGATTTAGAGTTGTTCAAAGAGAGACGGTTAGTAAAAAACCAATTGAATAAGTTTTTTATAGATGTTTGGTAATTAAGGGTATCGAATTTAGAAGTGTGATAGCTTACATAGAAAGCAGTATCATCAGCAAATAAAATAGTGTTAACTGTTTTATTTTAAGAGTACACTAAATCATTAATATAGATAAGAAATAATATTGTACTCAAAACCGAGCCTTGAGGGACACCAAACAACAGAGTTTGTTTCTGAGAATCGCACTGGTTGAAGTGAACATTGTGATCACGATTTGATAGATATGAATCAATTAGTTGAATATTATCACTATGAAAATTATAATAAGGAATTTTTCTAAGCAGAACACTATGTCTGACACAATCGAAACCCTTAGTAAGATCTAAAAACGATGCGATAGTATCAAGATATTTTTCAAACTCTTTCAAAATATTTCTAGTGAAATAATCAATAGTTAAATTTGTTGTTTTATTGTTTCGCAATCCGTACTGGTTTATGGCGAACAGTTCACTAGATTTAAAATGTAGAATAATTTGATTTTTTTAAAATTGGTTCAGAAAATTTTGATAAGATGGACAACAAAAAAATGGGTCGATAGTTGTAATCATCAATAGGGTCTTAAACAAAGGTACTACCTTTGCAGTATTGAAAACTTGAGGTTAAGTATTACAAGATATTGATTGGTTTATTAAAGTTGTTAGAAGTTGAACAATTATATTTTTAATTGTTTTAATAATTTTTGTGTTAAATCTATCAGGATCTTTGCTGTTACTATTGTATATTTCTGAAATAGCTTCAAGTGAAGTGAACTTTGGTAAAGTCATCTTCACTAAAGCTCACTAACTGAAAACTAAAACATGAGATATTTTCCTCTGGTATACACTTTAAATAGTCATTAAGAGTTAGCTGAGGAACCTTAATTTATTACTCTCTCAGCAGTTGAGCAGAAGTGGCTATTAAAACTATCTGGCTTGAGTTAAGAATTATTAGTGTAAACATTTTTATGTCTGTAACCATTATTAAATTTCCACATAGCTTGTTGAGAATTGCCAAAATTTTTTATAAATCTATCATTTGCATTAATTTTTGCAAGCCTGATGGCTTCCCTGTACTCTTTCCTAAGTTTGATAATGGTACTTCTAGGTGCAGCAATGGGATCGTTTCTCTTTATTGCTATAACAAATTGAAGTTTCTCACGTATTTTTCTCAAATTGTCATTAAACCAGTTTACTTTTTTACCCGGATTATTTCTATTCAGCAATTTCGATTTTTCTGGAAAAGAGATATTTATGGAATTTATTAACACATCAATTAGCATTTTAAATTTACAACTAATAGCCAAATTATCATTGTATATACATTAAAGTTGCAATTAAGCAAAATCTGGTTTAAATTGAAGAGTCCTTTATCTGTGATAGGTCTATAACAAACTCTGGTTGCAGAATTTGTGGGTTAATAGGCTATCTGAAACTAAATACCTCTGTGGTCAGATGTGTAAGTGAGATCCACAGGATTTGTGGTACCATCAATATTTGAGAAAACATTATCAAGACGTCTATTACCTCGAGTATTAAATTGAACTTTTTGTGTAATGTTGTAGGACCTAAAAAAATTACAGAGTTTTAAAGCTCTGATATCTGTTTCATTAAAATGGACATTAGAGTCACCCGTAATTATAATAGGTTTATGAACATTATTTTGTTTTATAGCAAAGATCACCAATGAGACGATTAATTAAAAAAAAAATGAAATGAAAGAGAAAACAGAATGAAAATTTGTTGTAATTATTGGTCAACATGTTTTTCATGTGCGCGCCTTAATCCACAGAGATTTAACATATTTACCAGTAGAATTCTACGCAGCGGGGAGATTTTTGATTTTAAATATCTACGGATTTTCTTTAAACGACTTAAATAGTATTAAATACGTAGGAAGTTGAGGTCTCAGTCTTCTTCTTCTTCTTCTTGTAGTTCCTTCTCCTATCGGAGGTTGGCTATCATCACAGCTATCCGTACCTTATTAGCGGCTGCTCTGAAAAGATCTACTAAGCTGCAATTATACCACTCTTTTAGGTTTTTTATCCAAGAAATTCATTGTCTTCCTATGGATCTTTTATCCTTGATTTTACCTTGCATTATGAGCCTTAATATCTCATATTTTTTACCCCTGGTAATGTGATCTAGATATTCCAGCTTTATTGTTTTGATGTGCTTTATGATCTCGCAATCCTTTTGTAGCCTTCTTAACGCTTCTGCATTTGTAACTCGTTGGGTAGATGGTATTTTCAAAATCCTTTTATGACCCACATCTCAAATGATTCCAACTTCTTTTGTACTATCCACTTATAGTGTCCAGCTTTCCATTCCATATAACAAAGTCGAGAACACATAGTATCTTAAGGCTTTTATCCTCAGCTACAGAGGAAGGTTTCGATTAACTAACATTCTTTTCATTTATATAAATGCTTGTCTTGCAATTTCAATGCGTATCCATGTTTCTCTACCTTGGTCATTGTTTACCTAGGTTCTCAGATATTTGTAGGTATTCACCCTTTCTACTTGTTTTTCCTCGATATCTAGCCTTCTTATTGTATGTTGCTAAGAAATAATCATGTACTTGGTTTTCTTAACGTTTATTTGTAGTACATTTTTTATACTGACTTAACGTAATCTATGTACTAAGCGTTTAAGTGCTTCTAGACTGTCTGCAAAAATAGCGGTGTCGTCTGCGAATCTTATGTTATTCAAAATGTTTCCGTTTATCGATTGACAATACAATTGACAATATCCACATTCGAATATCGACTATCCATATTCTTTTCTTTTACACAGTTTTACGATTTTCTGATGTTATACTCTATCAAAAACCCTTTTGATAATCTGTAAAGCAGATATGGAGATCCTGGTTCATATCTAGTCCTCTTTGCGCAAAAACGTTAAAAGCAAACAGAGCTTCTCTCGTTCCTAGCCCTCCTCTGAATCCAAACTGGGCATCTTCTATATCTTCTTCCATATTTTTATATAGTCTTCCATGTATTATTTTGAGAAATATTTTAAGGGTGTGACTTATTAAGGAAATTGTTCTGTACTGGGAGCATTCTGTCGCATGTACTGACTTTGGTAGTGTTGCAAACGTAAACAGCAACCAATCTTCGGATGTTGCTCCTGTTGTATATACTTTGTTGAACAGATCTAAAAGTATGTGCAGTGTTTCTTTGTCAATGCATTTAATTAGCTCAGTGGGTATCTGATCTGGGCCTACTAATTTTGTGGTCTTTGCATTTCTAATTGCCTGTTCTAACTTGTACTTTATTATTTTCGGTCCTGTTTGTTCCTGTTGTTCTTCTTGTATAATTTTATCATCGTCGCATAGATTTATTATGTATTCTTGCCAAAATCTTAGTTTATTTTTGATGTCTGCAATGAGTTTACCATTATCATCTTTGAGTATCCCATAGTGTGGTCGCTTTTTGGTATTTGTTAGATCCTTAATTTTTTTATGCATATTAAATCTGTCGTGAACTCTTATACTTTTATACATTAATCTGTTAACAACTTTTCCTTGGCCTTTTTATCTCTACTTTAATTCTACTTTGTAGTTCTTGTCTAATTTACCTAATTTTTAATTTTTTGTAA